CAAGCTCAGCTTTTGGGATTAAAATTCACTCATAATGATGTGAATTAGGGAGAGTATTATTATTATTATTATTATTATTATTATTATTATTATTATTATCTACCTCTTAAGAGGTTTGATCTTGCAATTGGTTTAACCACGCCCTTTCGACGGCAAGGATCGGATATTGCGGCTCGCAGTGGGCGACGTAATATTCTATTTCTCTCTATTCAATAGTATTGTGTTTCTATACGGTTCTCCTGGTCGAATTGGGAATAGCTTTAAAATACCTGTTACGTTATCATCTACTTTTTAATTGCATTTTAAGAATCTGGAAAAAATGTATCTGGTCTATGATTTGCATGTGTATATGGCTTTATATTAATGGCCATTGTATCTGCTAAACATATTTAATTTATAAATGTCGTAAAATCTAAATATTTATAATTGCCTGATAAAATAAGTAATTTTTCTATTTGCTGGGCGATGTCTATCAATGTTTCTGAAACATTGATGTTTAGCCATCGATGTTCAATTGTTTTGTCATCGATGATAGATGGTACAAAATAAAATATCTTTTGAGTTATAAAGGAAACTGCTAGAAAGAAAATTACATAATTATGCAGTGATGTTCCCTAAAGTTGGATCCATATGGGATTTTTTTTAAGATTACGTTTGAAGAAAAACATCGTACGACATTCAACTCTGCTTTTTAAAAAATTTAAAATAGCCCATATTAGTTGGCTGTGTACAGCATTAGTTATCGGTCAAATTCAGAATTTTTTTTAAGAACTTTTATTTTTTTTTAAATAACAATTTGACAGAAAACGAATGTCAGTAGCCTCCTTAGATATGGGCTATTTTAAGTTTTTAAATAAACAGGCGATTGCCCTACGAAGTTTTTTTCTAATAGTAATATTGAAAAATTCCATATCGATCCAACTTTATGAAACACAGTGTATTTTGATTTATGATTATTTTGAATAATTATTAATATTAATTAAGGATATTTCTGTTAAAAAAAAAAAAACAATGAGTGGGTACTGATACAACATTAAAAGTTTTTAATATTAATATACAATTGGAAGAACACAGCTACGTCATAACCATTACTTCGAATTCCGAATACATATTATCTATAACTATCAATAAATAAAAAATAAGTAAGTTGTTAGGTATAAACCAATATTTCCTATAATATTAAAACTCCACTAAACCCCAGCTCGCGGCGATAACCCAATGAACTGGAGGGGGGTAGAATGCCAATGTACATGTTGTACTATTAGAACAAGGTGCGACTCGATGGGCGCAGCCATTTTTATTGTTCATCTCACTCGGGACTATTTATAATAACCATTTTCTGTTTCACATTGTTATTGTTCAATCCACAAGCTGGTGGACCAGACAATAACAATGTGAAATAGAAACTGGCTATTTTAAATACTCCCGAGTGAGATAAAAAATAACCTATCTTCGCCCATAGAGTCGCACATCAAGTCTATTGACAAGCATTCTACCCCACTCCAGTTCATTGCGATAACCAGATAATACTTTTCCAAATGATGACGTAGTTGTGTTCTTCTAATTGTAATTGGACCCTAACATATGGATGTTTTACAACCGATGTTTTGAAGGCATCGATGTTTGTTTTCGATGTCACCATCAATGTTCAACATCGATATTTCGCGTCGAACATATTATATTTCCATTGTTTTTCAGTTTATTTTTAATTTTGAGAGCAAGAAAACTGTTTCAAAATTAAAGAAAATTTTTATTATTTTCTAAAAATTTCCCTTTCCGTTGAAATTTGTTTGACAGCATCTCTGAAAACTCAAATTTGCTTTTTTTTATTTCAAAGTATTAGTGAGCAGTGGCGGCTCTTGACCAAAATATTGGGGTTTACAATGACAGAATATATTTCAGTTTCTAAAATACTGAAATTTTTTACCTAAACCTGTAATGAGATCTATATTGTCAATGTGACCAATATTTTGGTCACAAGCCACCACTGGACGTGAGCCAAATATGGAATGCCAATTTGATTTTTGTATATATTAAATTCTTAACACCACTTGTGTTTTATGTAGGTTTTTTACACCTTTGAAAACCATAATGTATTATTCATAATATTAAATCAACTATACAAGAGTCACAGAAAAATATTAGAAAATTGTATTTTTGTACCTAATATGGAATATGTCCCTAATATACAAGAGTCACAGAAAAATATTAGAAAATTGTATTTTTGTACCTAATATGGAATATGTCCCTAATATGGAACATGCTTCAAAGAAAAATTAAAACATTTTTACACAAAACATTTAATTACTTTGTGATACATGAAAAACAAAGTAGTCAACATAAAATAATTACATTGAATATATCAGGAGAACGTATTTTAACCATTTTACAAAACTCGCACAAAAATAGATTTTTTTTTACCCCTGAACAGTCAACATGGTATCAACCTAAACACTGGTTTACCTCTGAACTCTACGGAAAAATTATCATTTCAATAGAAACGGGTGGTTTACTTGTTTCCAAATTGCACCATTCCATATTAGAAACATCGCCATTTAAATTTTTATTAACATATTACTCCTAACAATAGTTAAATTTGTTATACAGAAATAAAGAGCTCATGTTATGCTCAAACACATGTTATAAAAAGTTGGTAGTTGATAATCACCTTGTGCACTAATATTATTAATACATAGGTACCTGCAAAATATTTGATTTTACGAAAAAAATAGAAAAAGGCGGCATTTAGCGATCACTGGTCTATTAGGGAAAAAATGTGATATCATGAACTAGTTTAAATGCGATTAGCGCGGTTTTGCCAAAGCTAGTAAAAAGACTTTATTGGTATTCAATTTGAGGAACATATTCCATATTTGGCTATTCTCCTCTAGTATACAGTGCGATCCATGTGTATGGAAAAAATAAATTTTTAGCGTTATGTACTTATAAGAAAAAATCTGAAACACATAATTTGACAATTTATTGTATAAAAAATAATAAATCCCTATTGCACTTCCTCTGAATATGAGCACCCCATGAAAATATTAAATAAGTCATGTGACACCTTGTTTGAAAGGGATTTTAATTCTCCCTTCAGTAATATACAGTTTTTAAATTTGTTACAATCATAACCGAGAAAATTAATTTTGAAAATGTAAAATTATGATAATCACAAATAATGTTACATAATAATTAGAGTGTATTTTTCAATTTACATTTTCAACATTAATTTTTATGATTGCAATAAAATTAAAAACTTTATATTGCTGAAGAGGGCATTCAAACAAGGTGCCACACGATCCCCTTTCTTATTTAAAGTTTCGGAAAGGTGCTCATATTTCAGAGAGGGAGAAAGAGGGGGTAACATTTTCATATAATAATTTGTCAAATTAAGAATAGAAAACTATTTGTTTCGAGTTTTTTCATCCCTCAAAAATGATTTTTTTCCGTTGCTCTTCACAAAAATCCGTTAGATCTGACGGGAAATCCGTTAAGTTGGCAACACTGCTTTCAAAACCACCATGACCATGAACCACATAAAACACAAAAGTCAAGTCATCCATCAAAATGATAAGTTGTCAGTTGTCATTGTAATTATTATAAAAATTAAAAATAAATAATGGAAATTATGATAAAATAATATAGGTAGAGGTATTTAGCTATGTGTAAGTATTTTTTATTTGCTATAATTCGCAAAATCATCTTGTTTTGTGACCACCTCTTTGTTACTCTCCTTGTATAAAATTTATAGATATGTAATACATTATTATTAATTATTTTTTTACAATAATTGAGCTAATAAAGAAGTTTATTTTACAAAAAGAATTAAAATGGCCTTCAAAGTTTAAAATAGGGTACCTATCAGTGCTATGAACCCTCTTATAGGTACCGGCTATTAACTAAGTTATATTATTCCTGGACATTTCTCGAATATTTTAGAGATTAAACTAAAAATGTACCATATTTTAAACATAATAGCCTTGAAACCTAATCTAATTCTTTATTAATCTAGCCTCGTATCCTCTTGTAAAATGGCCGATAGTTGTACATTACCACATATTCACGTGGCTATAAAAAACGAATAATTACCGAACAATTATCGATCCTAAAAAATTCTTGAACTAATCTAAGATTTTCTGAATTTCCCTCATGCTAGACTACCGTAATTAAATATATTTACTTATATTAAAAAAAGGGATTAAAATTGTGTATTTCTACTATCAAAAATAAATAATTAGATTTGTAATAATTATTTTTTCTTATCTGAATTTAAACCTATACAAATTTTTTCCACTTTGAATCAAACAGCGGACATTTTGAATATTAATTTGTCATAAAATCACAATAAATTTGATAAGTTATTTATTAGTACCTACCAAATACTAATCATACCGATAATAGTAGGTAATATCATTTAGATTAAATAAAATGCCTATATTACTGAGAGATTATCTCAGATAACAGTAAGAGTTATAAAATATCTAGTAATTTACTTATCTATAGGACATAGGTACCTACTAGTGTTATGTATTTTCCAAAATTGCATAGGTACTTAGGTATCTTTGCATAATTTATTTTTTTAAAGATAAACACATTATAATAATTTGTATGAATAACTAGAAACTGATTCACTGCATAAGTAAATAACAACGTGGTCTATTTTTAATTCATTCATGTACCTACCTACCTAGGTACCTACACCTTATTTGCACTTAGTGAAAGTGAAAAATAATGCCTAATTGTTTTGTTTTAAAGAAAACTGACTCGCCAGTCGTTAGTTCCTAAGTGGAATAAGCAAGAATCAAGCTGAATTTAAAACTAATCATATCTATAACTATTTGAAACATTTTTATTTCCAAATAATAATTAGACATCTTTAAATTTGAATTTATCAGAAATGAATAGTTAGGTTATGTTTCTCAACGGAAGCATTTATTTTTGTACCATTATTAAAAAAAGACACTAGAACATTAAAATTAAATGAAATGTATATAACTTACTTTGCACCCAATCTGATTTCCACATTGTCCAGCCTGTACATGTACAATTTCCCTCATAGTTAAAACTTTTCGTGCAAATAACTACGTGCGCACCTCTCGTTTCGATTTCGAACACTTTCTGAAGGCATCGGCATCGGGCATCGAGCAGAATAGTAGAAACGAGATAAGATAAAAAATTTTGATAAACATACCTACATTGTGAATTTAATAATTAAATAGGTTGATGGAGTAATATTTATTTTTATATTTGATGAGAAATTAATTGAATCATATCTGTTAGTTTTATGATGAATGTTATCATTTATTATCATTATCATCGGTACGTCCATTACACAAATATCTTCTTTTTCTCTATCAATTTAAAATTTCAAAATAACAAATTTTTATTATTATCTACATTTGACACCACCTTATCTTAGGTGATCTCGTTTAGGTATATTTTGTCAATTTATTTTTAGAAATTGACACCAATGAAGGTATAAAAACAAAAGAAACCTTTCCCGCCATAAAGTAAAAGTATGTCGGTGCTATTTTTAGACCGGTGTCATCTCCGGGGTTTGACGATATAAGTGTCCGGGTGTCTTCGTGGGGAAATCGATTTACAGTTTTGTAGCGGGTAGCGGTCTAAGGCTTAAGTTTGGCCTTGGTATGTATTTACATGGCAAGATGGCAAAACACGCACTTTGGGACATGAGACATCATCATACAAATTACGTGACCCAGCCCACGCAAAGCCAAATAAGGACGTGTGTTTGTGTTACTTGCGTTCAACTCAACGTTGTATGACCATGTATGACACAACGATGAGCGCATATAACTAAAAAGTTTTTAATTTTCTTATATATTTTTAAGTAGGTTCTGTGATGGATTCAAATATGCCGCCAAATTCAAAATTCCAATTTATGTAGTTACGCGGAAGTTTTGTATTTAAGGACATATTTTTAAGTGGGTATTGTGATGGATTCAAATATTTCAAATGTTTGATGAAAAAAGAGCTGCGCTGCGTACATAAAGTAAATTATATAGTGCGATCATAAAGTGTGGAAACCATCCATTATCTTAGGAAGTAATTATTTGCGGAGATAAAACAGGACTTTTTTAGTTCTACTTTTTTTTTAATTTCCATTGCCTTACAAGATATGACCCTCGAAAATCATGAACTCTTAAGATAATGGAGAGTTTCCATACTTTATGAACGCACTGTATAATAGAATGTGATTTTTAGAATTAATATTAGAATTTAATATTAGAATTAATAATATTATCTTTACTGATGGCGAGTTATTTTTTTATATGTATTTTTATTATTTTTAAATAAATAAAACCAATGAGAGGGAAAATAAAAACAAATAGGTACAATAGCATATGTTTACTAGATTTATTTAAAACATTTAAATACAAATGTATTAAAATAAATATAAATGTATTAAAATTACTAATTAAAAAAATATGTATTAGGTATATATATTTTTTGAAAAGATGCATGGTTATATTATACATGATAACCTATAATGGTTAGATAAAGTTCAATACATTTTTCTGGATGTCAAGAAGTAAACCATTGGTCTAATATATGCACTAGGCATTGAAACTTTTCTAGGTCTGGCATCTAATGGTCACGGTCCAAACGTATTCAACAATGGGCACACGTCATCATCCTTTCTTCACTCTGGAAATAGTAGCGAAAAACAAATATCACTGTTTGATTTAATTTTTTTATATAGCCTATATTCTTTACTTTTGCGTATTTCAAAAAATAATTTTTATCCTCATCCTCTTCCAAATGCAATATTAGTTTCTTTTAATATTCTTTTCATTTCGTTCTTCATTTCTTGTCTATTTTCAGCCTTCTTATGTTTTGATCTACCTTGGATGTTCCAATTCTTGATTATATATGCCATGAACAAAGAAGTTTTCTGGGTTTTTCATAGGAATTCATAACCTTGATCCATGTATTATAGTATTTTTGGTCATTATCACTCATTATATATTCTGTCTGAAGTATCTCCCCCAGTCTTGATTGAAATGCCCTAAAAAATTTCTTGAATTGTTTAATCTAACCTGTTTTACTAAGGCCCTTCCTATGGGGCCTCAGTATTGCATTCGTGCAGACGAAACATTTTTCTTACACTCATTTTTTAAAACTTTTTTATGTTTCCGGTCATTCTGAGTCCGAAAAGGCACAAAAAAAATTTTCGTCTGGTCGTTTGTGAATAATTACTTCTAACTTAGAACCCTATTGATTTTCAGAATTTTCGGTTCATCCTAACTACTTTAATATCAATTTTCTTAAAATCCGCCTATGCATTTCTTATATGACTCAATTTAGGAATTCCAATTATTTCTAACGTCTAACAATCCTAACATTCTTTACATTCCATACATTGCAAACAATATCATCCAACGACCTGTCAGACAACAGCTGTTGATTGTAAAGATGAGATTTCTAAGGCGGGTTGCGACCTTCATAATTGCAAACATAGCCATTTTGGAGGCTATTTTTATTTGAAATTAGTCGCCAAGCCAATTTATGAAAAATATATAAGAAGTTTGTTAAACATTACTTTTTTATGGTGGTGCTAACTTAAACTTACTACTATTTCGCCCCTAGCCACAAAAACACCTTCATCAAAAAATTTACTGGTTCTCTGTTGCAACCCGATAGAATAATTAAACGGCCATTTTATTTGGCAAAAATCAAAACAATGCTTGGCTGTGCCTGTCAAGTATCAAGATGTCAACTGTGATGTGTGAACGGCTTTTAAATGTCAAATTATTTAAAAATGTTTGTATGCTTTTATTGATATTTATTGCAAATAATTTGTAGTGTATCTTAATTCAGGCTTTCCATAAATAAAGGTACAGTAAGACAGATAATATAATGTTCTTATACAAAGCACTTTTTTATTATACTCTTTTATATAATGCTTGTTTTTTTGTAGATAATTTTAATTATACGATTTTGGTTTACATTACAACGTTACAGTATACTATAAATTAAAGGCCGTATAGTGGATGAAATAATTGCTCAATATTTAGAGTGCTTGCCTCATGGCAAGTTATTTATATTCCTATTTAAGAATATTTTCTAATTCGTCTATTTTGTTTTTTTTTTAGCTTTTTTCTCTCCTTAATTCCAGCATAACACTATATAGTTCATATTACCCAGCTAGCACAAAAACATCCCATCTACGTTAATAAGCTGCAATTTTAGGCTCTTTAAGCTCACATGCGATGTATTTTTAATGTAACCCTAATATCCCTGCAACCACCGAATGTCCGCAACGGCAAGACGTTTATAGCACATCTCGCAGAGTTTACAAAGTGAAGTTCGGAAAACATCACACTAGCACTTTTAAGGTACTTACCCTGAAAGTTGCTCTGAAACTTTCTATAGATGTTATAATGTGAATTAGTTCTACAGCATTATACAGTGTGTCCACGAATGAAATTAAAAATTCTTCATATTTCTTTTACTTGTTAAATAAATTCGATTCACATTAAGAAATTATGAAAAATAACTTTTTTTAATTTAAAATAAATATTTTTACAAGTATAATTAAGTCCATCCATGGACACACTATATGTTCTTTGTGTAATGAAATACAGAGAGGCTGAAATTGAGGTATAGTAAAATCTCAATCGAGACATGGAAATTTCAAATAAAACAAAATATTTATATAAATTTATTATTAAAATGTTCTTGAAATCAAGTAGTAATATCACAAAAGTAGAGGTAGGTATATCACAGTTACACATGTGCGATAGTAGAAGCCACCTATAAAGCACTGAACGATTGGACAAAATTTGCTTAATAGTATAATAAGGTATCAATATTGCAAAGATTCACTAGAAGCTTAAACAGTGAACGATTGTACAAAAGTATATTTATATAAGGTACGTTTCAAGATGGCAATTGTATGATGCAAAAAAATCTAGATCTGTGAATAACAGATGATTGCAACAATGACTAGGTATATATTATACGAGATATTTGAGTTCCCTGATTGCTTACCTGTACTCGCAGAGATATATCATCTTTTTAAAATCAAACCTTTTAACTTTTTTTTGTATAGATATTTATATATTTTTATTTTGTTAGTTTATTATTTATGCAAAGGTAAACAAAAATTATTTTATTCTAACTACATGTGGCTTGGAAATATTTTTATTTATGCTATAATGTAACATAAATATATGACAATTTATTAGAAGAGGATAAATTATATTTTTATATAAAATGATTTTACTTTGAATATTGAATAAAAAAGAGATTGACCTACTTGTTTAACTATTATTGAAAGAAATTATATAGAAATTAAAAAAATGTGCTCAAGTTTAAATCGTTGCACTTATTTTTAGATAATTTTGTCTTACTTTGTTGTTTTAAATAAAACCTTCAATGTTAGTGTATTGATTTTTTTTTAATTCTCACAAATTTTATGCTTAATTATGGATTTCCAAGTTAGTATGAAGATTTTATAAAAAAACAACTCATGTTTTTTAGCAAGATATTCTGATGAATGCTCGAGGGCATCGTCTGTGATTTTTTTTAAAATTTTCTTCTAGTTTTGCACTTAAATCTGATTTTTTTTTAAAAAAAGACGTACCATGTACCTAGCTGTATATTCACTGTTTACAAAATTTCAAGTGTTATATATTCTTCTTTAGACAAGTCTGTAGTATATCTTTTGCTTCTAAAATTCCTAGAATGTCTTCAGGTACAAAGGAAATCTAAAATACAATATTTTTAAAATGCATTTTTAGTTCGATTAAGTATATTATTACCCAGAAGTTTGTTATGTCCTTAGTATAACCAAGATAAGGACATCTTGGTTGTACGTATTTATTTATCGAATACGATATATTACAATATTAATTACAGTTTTTAGGTACATCTGCGTAGCTAAGGAATATAAAACTTACACCTAAATTTAGTCATAAACTTTAATTCGTTCTCTTCGTCTCTAGGTAGTACTTAATAACTTCAGTTGTATAATCCTAAAACCAATACAAAATATAAATTGATATAAAATACATTAAGAGGAGTAAAATGTTCCAACAAAATATCATTAAAAATATAAATGTTTGCCCTTTTTAAATATATTAGAGATATGTAATTATTAATTTAGTTTGTCTAGGATAGATTTTCCTTAAAATTTCAATGATTTGTTTATCTTTGTTATGTTAAAGTCATTCTGTTGACAATCCTCTTCTTTTTCAAATACATTAAATTAATTGAAATTCCATCAAGGTACAACAACCAGGACAATTTAAATACATCTTATTTGGACACGGATTGACCACTGACCACTTTTTATGATACTTTTTTTTGTATTCTCATATCTGACCGGTTAATGAAAATGGCTTCTTTCTGAACCACCTGGGTTTAAGTTTTCGAATTT